CTCAAACATAATTTACTCCTGTGACGGCAATGCTGAATTTTCAACAGGTATTACTCCAGTCTTCAGTGTCACATGATCTTTCCAAAATCATGGTATGGTGATTTCGTGCTCAAGTAAAATTTCTTATTATTATAAAATTATTAAAAACCGTAATACTTTTTTAAGGATTCTTTTGAACAACATTCAAAAAAGAACAGCATTTATTTGAATTAGAAATAGGAATTAGAAATTAATAGTTTGTAAGTAACAATGTAATTGTATTTACTAGTCACTGTTGGTTGGTTCCATTCAATTTGTGTAACAATTTCAAATAACCTTTAGGTTCCACATTAAAAGCAGAATGTGGAGTTAGAAAGACATGAGGAGGACTTAATAATGATTGAATTTTCAACCAGGGCTGAAAAATGCCACAGAAAATTAGTTCCTCTTTTTTTATTTGTTACCTACCATTTGATATATTTCATAATGTTCTATTCTAGGGTCTGTCTGGTTATAAGTTTCGTGCCTCTGCAGACACTAAAGTGGCCTGTTGCTCTCATCTCTATTTGTTGTCTCAGAGGCGAATGTTTAAGTATATGAAGTGGGTTTTGATGAAAAGCAAAACTAAAATCAGCTCTAAAAACATGGAATGAACATGAAGAAACTAAAAAATACTTGAAACAGTGATTACACTGAAATCTCTTGTGATGTAGAGAGCTCTACAATCTAACATAAGAGCCATCCAGTTATATATATCTGTATTTTAGCAGAGCATTTATGTTGTTAGGTTCTTTAGGATCTGAATCAATTATGTTGTTAGGATGTTTGGAGCTTTTGATTTAATATTATGTAGCAGCCATAATTGTTCAGATTGCGAATTTATTTCAATTAATTGATTCAGTTGAAGTATTTCACATAAATGGACAACATTCTGTGTTTTTGTATGCATAGAAAAAAAGCACTCTTATAGGTCAAAATGCACCAAAGAATAAATTCTGGTAGGCTAATGTTGAATAAAAACTTAATTTTTGACACTAGTGGGAAATAATGCAGTACAAAATGTTCTCTGCAGAATCTACGCTTGCAAGTCAAGGCGTTAGACATTTCGATCGCTATTCCATATTCAAGATTATTCAAGCCGATTAAAAAACCCATATGAGGAGCAAATGGAGCTGGTCTCCCACCTACTGTCTTTGTCTCTCACATCTCACATCCCACATTCTCTCACTTTCTTTTAAAGGTCACTCTGTTTTTGACAAGTACCACTTGATAAATCTTACCCATGAACCCCTGAGAGTTGCCTCATCATGATTGGCTCCACAAATTATTATCGATCCTCTAACAGTGTCATGTCATTACCGAGGCAACACTTCTACCAGGACTTCAGTTATGGAAAAAAAAAGGCTTTCAACATGGTGTGCAGTGCATGTGAGATATGGCTGTCCAGCAGGAATTAAATCGTGCATTTTTCTGTACTGAATATTTTGAAGATATAAATAACATTTTACTGATTTTCTGCAGAGGTCAGGTGTAAATATTCAGATGTTGTTGTCCTTTCCTCTCTGCATGTCCACTGCAATCCAGTTTGAGAGTGAAAAAGTGAAAGTGACGTGACATGTGGCCAAGTATGGTGATCCATACTCGGAATTAGTGCTCTGCATTTATCCCATCCAAAGTGCACACACACAGCAGTGAACACACACACACACACCGTGAACACACGCCCGGAGCAGTGGGCAGCCATTTTTTGCTGCGGTGCCCAGGGAGCAGTTGGGGGTTCGGTGCCTTGCTCAAGGGCACCTCAGTCGTGGTATTGAAGGTGGGAGACAGCGCTGTACATTCACTCCCCCCCCCTACAATCCCTGCCGGTACGAGACTCTAACCCGCAACCTTTGGGTTACGAGCCCGACTCTCTAACCATTAGGCCACGACTTCCTTGTCGCAGCAGTGTAGATGTTTTACTGCACCACACTGAGACAAAACAGGTTCAGATAATGACATGGTTTAGTTGACCATGGAGAAACCTGCATTTCAACAAACCCAAGAAAGAATATGTTATTCATATGCCCGTGATTTTGAATCTTACATAGGGAGTAGCTGTCTAACTACATTGATTTGTTGTCTCTTACATACATCACACACGAGTGCTAGACTATGTTTATAGCAAATGTTTTTATTTCCCCTTGCAGCTGGCACCAGACGATGCATGGAAGTGTCCTCACTGTAAGCAGATGCAGCAGGGGATGGTGAAGATGAGCTTATGGACCCTGCCTGACATCCTCATCCTGCACCTCAAGCGTTTTCGGCAGGTGGGCAAATGGCGAAACAAGCTCTCCACCCTCATTCGCTTTCCTATAAGTGGTCTGGATATGACTCCCCATGTAGTGAAACGCAGTCAGAGCATGAAGAATCTGGCCCCGTTGCCTTCAACTTGGAAACATGGAGATACTGACTTCCTTTACGACCTGTATGCAGTCTGCAACCACCACGGAGGCATGCATGGAGGCCATTACACAGGTGAGCGTGCTGAGATCTCTGATAGTAAGAAGCAGGAGGTTGTTTGTCCATCTTAAAAGCATTTTTCTATTTTTCTTTATATAATTTTCTAATCTAGAAAATATTTTTCTTTATAACAATAAAGACACTTTTAACTCTCTCTAGTTTATTTGTCAAGTAAATGTCCAGCAGTTTAAATACATGCATTATAGGTGAATTTGTATGTATTGTGTTTAATATTCTGTGGTGAAAATGATATTTTAAACCTTTTTAATCTAACAAAAATAGATGAATCCCACACACTGCTATAGCTATTTCTTTATATATTTTTCTTTATAACAATAAAGACACTTTTAACTCTCTCTAGTTTATTTGTCAAGTAAATGTCCAGCAGTTTAAATACATGCATTATAGGTGAATTTGTATGTATTGTGTTTAATATTCTGTGGTGAAAATGATATTTTAAACCTTTTTAATCTAACAAAAATAGATGAATCCCACACACTGCTATAGCTTACAAATCATATTTTAAAGAAGCATTTCACTCACACTGCCTGCCACTTTTTTTCAAATAAGAAGTCAAACACACGGAAATGTAGAATACAAAGCAGCCAAAGAAGAGAACAACACTATCATCAATAACAGCCAATGACATAACAGAAGAAAAAAAGTCCCAACCTGACTAAAGTACAATTAGCCAAAATAAATATATTACATACTCCTAGTATTCCTAGTACTCCTAGTATTATCTACAATTATCCCTATAAAATGTAAATTAAATAGATTTCAGTAGACAATGAATACACACCAATACGTGTCACAAATAAGTATTTAATACAAACAACTTGCAAACGTACACGTAACCATATTAATTTATAAATACAAAACACTAAATATCATCACATACAAATATGTAACAAATATACAATGTAAATTGCATTGTACTAAATCCTAAATACAAATACATACGTGTACTGTATCATATTAAAAATCATCAAATATCAATATTACCACATGACATTAAAGAAAAGCTCATCATTAAGACCCATAGGAGTTTGAAGGGTGTAAATCCTCACGTCTTTGTAGAAAAAGGTCAATGTCACCACCTCTAGGTGGCACTTTCACCTTTCCAATTCCAAAGAACTGGAGTGTCGACACATCACGATTGAACTTATTAAAACGTAGCGCTACTGGATAATTTATGTCCTTTCGTCTGATTGAACTTTTGTGTTCACTAATACATTGTTTGAGTTGTCTAGATGTTTTACCCACATACCCCAAACCACAAAGACAATGGGTCAAATAAATCATGTGTTGAAAGATGGGTAATAATGCTAGAAATAAGAAAAAATGCTTAATAAGTTAATAAGTTGTGCCCAATTATTTATTTGAAATGTGTCATTCCTATTGGGAAAAGGACTGAGTATGGTCTGGTTACTAGCAGGATCCACGACTGTGGATAACCATGTTGGGAAAAACATGTAAGCAAAGTCTCCACATAAAGGTGGAGCAATTATAGTACAGCATTGTAAGAAATACAGTATAAACAAGTCATTTTGTCACTAATGTCTATGCTAATCTTTGATCCTGCACTTACTTTTCAAAGTGAGATATTGTCATTTCTAAATAATGCAAAAGAACAGGGTTGGATTTCCCAGAAAGGGTTTGACTTATTTTGTTGTCAACACCCAATTAGACCTGTGTTTTGCACTTTACAAAAATTTCTAAGAGATTTGCAGATCCCCCTGGTCTTCTCAGACCAATTCTCTTTTGTCTCCTTTGTCACAGTATGTGAATATTTTTTTTGTGCATGAATAAAAAGAAAAGAAAAAAGAAAAAGAACAGCATTTGTTTAAAATAGAAATCTTTTTGTAACGATATACACCACCGTTCAAAAGTTTGGAGTCAGTACATTTTTTTTCTTTCTTTTTTGAAATTAATATTAATTAATACTTTATATTAATAGAAATTAATACCTTTATTCAGCAAAGATGTGTTAAAATGGTCAAAAATGATAGTAACGACTTTCTATTTTCTTCTAGAAATAATTGTTAGAAAAGATTTCTATTTTTTAAGATTTGTACCTTGAATGGCATAAAGGCAGTTATATATATACATACATACATACACTACTCCAGCAGATTACAGCATATGTCTTTGTAAAACAGCCTACTGTAGGAACTCAGTGGATGGCCACTGGTACAGTTATGATGACAGCAGTGTGGAGAATGTGCCAGAGATTTAGAGTCTGGCAGAAGGCCAAGATGCACCAAAGACCCCATTGTTGCCCTAATGACTCGACCTTCAGATAAAGAAAGCAGTAAAGACGATGATACGAAAAAACCCACAGCCAAATCTTCAAGCCACAGCAGCCTCGGACCTCTAGAGTATCTCAAAATACCGCAGGGTCAAGAAACAAGTAGTTCAGAGAAAGCAATGGGCCAACAACCAAGCAGCAGCAGTAGACCAAGTGAAGATGGAACTTTGACCAGACGGAGCAGCAGGAAATCAAAACAGGACCGATCACAATCCAGAAACGGCTCCGGCACAGGGATCCAATCCAATTCCAGCGGTCCAAGAGGGTGGGAAACAAAAAAGAGGGATGATCCAAGCAAGGAGCAAGACCAACTAGAGGAGAAACCGAGAAAGGGACAGGAGACAAAACGTCCCGATAGTGTCTTCGCTTTTCTTAAAGGCGGTTTCATGAAGAAAGACTCGCTTCGGAGGTCTAGAGACAGTGAATCTGTGAAAAGGGGTGATGCAGAGGTGAAGAGCCCATCTGGAGATTCTCTCTCCAATGGGACACACAATAGAACTTCAGAAGGTAAAGCTAATAGCACAAACCAAGTTCGTAGCAGACTCGGTGGCGAATTTGCAAATGGCAAGGTCAGTCATGGGTCATCAGACGTCAAACGCTCACAAAGTTCTTCCAATATTCAAAGCAAGGCTGATCTAGGCTTAAGAAGAACGGCATCTTTACACAGGAACGGCACATCGACCCAGCCGCAGAGCGTTCCTATGAACAGGGGCTCTCAGAATACCCTGCAACGCACACGCTACAGCACAAACTCACTGGGCAGAAAGAAGGCAGTGCCTGAATCAAGCTTCTGAGACTTACTTCACTACACCCAAATATCACAACAGCGTAGCAAATATCTAAAAGCCCACATAAGAACTATGGTAAGAAAGATATGTTTGAAATGATGGCAGCACACTATGAAGTTGCACATACATTTGGAACTAGTGGATGATATTTTTGTTCACTTTTTTCTGCTTATATGAAGTGCCTGTGAACCAGAGCTATTTTTTAGATTGTCGGATTGTGTTTTGGCACTGGAAGTCCATTATACGCTGGCCTTTGCACCATAATTTTGAATTGAAAAATTATTTGCCTCGGATTTGATTTTTATGTGTCACTAAATAGATTTATCACCTGTAATACATGAAGGGAATTGCTATATATAACGTTTTAGTTTCATCTTTTATGATTCTGCAGATTGTACTGACTGGCTGCTAACCTCCCATGGGTTTTCATGACATTTAACAAAGATGTCAGTTCTTGCACCTTCAGTGAATTTATTGCACCACTGTCTGACTTAATCGTGCTCTCAGACCAAAACATAAAGCTTATTCATTTTTGCTTGTTTTGCAGTATGCATTAAGACATTTACAAATCTGTATTATAAAATTACTTTTAAAAAGTATGAAATCAAACTGAATCTAAAACGTATGCTTTAGGTGAGATATATTTCTATGGATGGCATGTTGACAACACAATGTATTAGACAGAACACCTTAGTAAAACAGTGTCACTTCTGAAAAGCACAATCACAATAACCACACCTTATCACCAGTGGTTTAATCTATAACCTAACCACCTAAACCTAGTTTGAATGCAGTAACAAGAACCTGTTTAACTTAAAGGACAGTACACCAAAAACATGAAAATTGTCATTGTTTATTCACCGTCATGTTGTTCCAGACATGTTTTTGTCTTTTTTTTTTCATCAATAGACCACAAAAGGAGATGTTAAGCAAGATGCTCATGCTGCTCTTCCAAAGAAAAAGAAAGTGAATGGTAACCAGCAAGCTCCAAAATGACACCATTAACCCCTACTGTGTCTTATTTGATACATACATTTTAACTAGGGCCTCTAAATGATCAACAAATCAAAACATGACTAAAATCCTGTTCTACATGTTTAACACAATCTTCTACATGTCTTCTGCCCTCTGATTGATAGTATATGCTTCTTCTTTTTTCTTTTTTCTTTTTTTTTAGGAAGGACAAGGCCTTTTAGTATAACTGTAAAAATGTCCACCTTCGGGTTGTGGTACACATGTATTTTTGCTGTGAAATCTTGATTCTTATAAATGTAAGTAAATGTAAGAAGAACTTTTGTAGTAATATTACTATTTTAAGATTTATTGGACTGAAGAAAGTTAGGTTTAGACAAACTTTAAATTTCAGCCTTTTTCCTTACACAAAGTCATCATGTGGCTTCAGAACACTTGAAATTTATCAGACATGTAATACGGACTACTTTTAGTGTGCTGTTTGATATATTTTGAGCTTGACACCCCACCCCACCCCCAGTCATCATTGACTTTTATTGTATGAACAAGAAGAGCAGTGTGAATATTCTGCTGAACGTCGCCATAAGGGTTCCAAAAAAAACAACCAGGTTTGAATTCATTTATTCATTTTTGGGAAAAATATTCCTTTAATCCAGCTCATCTGAAAATGTTTGACATGTTCAAATAACATGGAGATCTACGTAGCGATACCAATGACTGCAGAATAAAGAAAAGCCTCGATGTAACCAGTAAAGTGACCTTAGAATAGAAATCCATAACACCGATTGTGTTTGGCTCTAATTGCTTGTAACAACAGTCAGAATAGGTCAAATTGACTCCTTTCTATTTGGACTAATTGGGTCCGTATATCCATTAATCTGATGAACAAGACGAGACGAACAGTCATCCCTCTCCAGAAGCATTTGAACAGTCTGAATGCAGCTCATTAAACACTACTGCTATATACACACTGCAAAGCTCATTCTTTTGAAACTATAACATTTTAGCATGCATTACACATTATGAAAGACTAAATTGCTTCTTTTTTCTCAATGTGATTGTGAGTGAATTAAAACTCAAATAGCAAACTGAATCAAAATCACACATTTGCGTTTTAAATTAATCTAACATGGTATAGACCAAACAGTAAGTGTCCTATTGATTATTGCACATGATATGGAATATTCACAAGCTCCTCAAATGTAAAATACTATTTTTATATACAGTGGGTAGGGAAAGTATTCAGACCCCCTTAAATTTTTCACTCTTTGTTATATTGCAGCCATTTGCTAAAATCATTTAAGTTCATTTTTTTTCCTCATTAATGTACACACAGCACCCCATATTGACAGAAAAACACAGAATCGTTGACATTTTTGCAGATTTATTAAAAAAGAAAAACTGAAATATCACATGGTCCTAAGTATTCAGACCCTTTGCTCAGTATTTAGTAGAAGCACCCTTTTGATCTAATATTAACTTAAATGATTTTAGCAAATGGCTGCAATATAACAAAGAGTGAAAAATTTAAGGGGGTCTGAATACTTTCCGTACCCACTGTATATCTTTGCAATCTATCTGAATTTCTTCAAACATTGGCTCATTAGAAAAACATGCCTCTACCTCCATTTTTGCAAAACTCCAAAAACGTACCTATACATAATATTCAAAGCAGTTTCCAGCTGAAATTAACACTAGTGGCAGTAAAACACTAACATCTGTTATTCTTTTTTAGACACATTATGATTACAGGAGCAGATTATTCATTAATAAAGACTTATTTTTGTGCAGTTCCTTGCACAATATTATGGTATGACCTCAGAAGGCTTTTACCATAGTGCATGATTTGTAAACTATAGCATTTACATCACATGACCAGCTCTATATATTATGCTCCATCTGATATAGTAAACTTGCTCTGTAACTCACCTGGTACAACACTGCAAATGTGATGCAGAGCACTTGCGCAGGAGTGCTGCTGAAACACAAGACACAATAAAAAGCTCGAAGACTTGTAGATGCAAGCTAAAATGTCATGGCAAATGTGTCCTAATCTCATGATTTTAACAATTTACTGTGGGTGGTATTGTATGTCAAACGTGATAGAGCATTCACATTTAGCGCCATAGACTTTTCATTTATGAACTATGATTTGATGATTACAACAACCAATGTAATGAAATGTTGCCAGATTCACATCCACCTGTTTCAAAGAGGATTAAACATTAATGCCACCTACTGGAAAGTGTGGTGCTTCTTGCATGCTTGAGTGCAAGAAGCAACATAATATAATCTGGCCGAAATATTGCCACAGCCACGTTTTTCCAGTGAACCTGGGTACTGTATACACTAAAGTTTGAATTGCACTGTAGAATTAGGTTTAATAATTGTGGAAAATTTACAGATGTGCTGTTTCTATATTACACAATTTATATTAGTTTTTGTTGATCTGAATAAGCAAATATATGAAATAAAGTTTTGTTTGTGTCAGTGCTCAAACACTTTCTGTTCAGAGCGAAGGACACTGTCAAAAGAAAAAAAAAGTGTATACTTTTATATTGCATTTTTTGTCCATTACTGTGCTGTAGAAGTTGTTTTACCATCGTACCAGATAAGAGATGATTCACAGTTTTTAAGTTTTCAGCCCAAATTGAAAAAAACTAAACAAGGAAAAACAGTTTTCTCTCTTCCGCTGAAATCTGTGTGCGAAACCCACTAAAGGATTGTCTTCTTCTGTCAACATCTAATCATCCCTGTTTATTCTGTTGAGTATGTCAAAGGGGTTATGCAAAAAGCAGCAATTACACAGCATGTAACAGGATTTGTGTAGACACAAAGGTCTGATCCACAAGGGCATTTCTTTTTTCCACTCCCATGCTTCCAAAATAATCCTAATTTTCACTATGCTTAAAATAATGAACACTTATACTGATAAGACAATGAATGAAGGATCTTACCCTGAAATCTTCTCTTTTTTTATTTGGTTTGAGATGTTTTATATGCAACTTTTTATAAACATTCTGTAATGTCTTTGTGTGTATGTATATAAGTGTTATACAAAAATCAATGGATAATATATCTGGGAAAAGTATATATGTAGGGATAGATTATATGTACAATTCAAATTATCATTGGATTATTGCACAAGGGTACATGTTCTGCTGTCAAGATGACTATATACAGGTTTGTGTGGACCTGTGTCTACGATAACAATTAACTGATATATTTTTGTAGAATTTTTTAATTAAAAAGACATTGGCATTCACACCACGTTTCTTAGACTTTTTTTTTGTTTGTTTGTTTTTTTTTAAACACTAGTTTAGCATTTGTCTTGGTTGACATCTAAAAGTGTGTATTTATTTGCATACTGAATGACACTAAAGCTGTCACTGCTCTTTGCAGCACTTTTACAGTGAAACTCTCTTTCTGCACTGGCTACAATAGCTCCAGTTCCTGAGGGAGTCTTCACAGTGCATGCAAAGAGCAGCGTGATCCATTCCTCAGCATGCACTACCCTATAGTCTCGATCCTCAGTTTGAAGACTTTGGTGTCAATGTTTCAGTATTCATGCTGTGTCAAGTAGAAATCTAAATTCTAGTATTTTTCTGTATTTATTCACAGAGGCTTGATTTACATCATTTTGGATGCAAATTGCTTCGAAGAAACTTACTATGCACTTCAGAATGTTAGAAATTCTGTCATAATTGTTTTAATATTACAAGGAATGCAAGGACAAAACTCACCATAATCACAGAAAGTGATGCTCGATTTGTCTGCCCACTAGAACTGTAATTATTTCTGAGATGTTTGGGACCTCTAGAAACTGTCTGCAAAACAAAAATCAGCCACACATGTACATACAAACTAAGATAACTGCCAAGTTCCTGTTACCTTTGCTGTATAAGTTAACATTCTGTAGCTGTTTTTAATAACAGACAACAGAAGTAAGGGATAGTTCACCCCAAAATGAAAATGTTCTGTCATCATCCTCATGTTTCAAATCTAAATGATATCTATAAATCTATATCATAGTTTCTTCTTTGGAATACAAAAGAGCATGTTAGGCAGAATGTTAGGGACTTGTAATCAGTCACATTTCACATTCATTGCAGCTATTTTCCACATAATGAATGTGAATTGTGTGGGCAGAAATGGTCAATAGACAGTTGTCCATAATGCCGATAGTGTAGCAATCCATGAAGCAGAGCAAACACAGAAGTCACTTTCAAACCAAGGAGCTTTCTGTTGGTCATTGCAGTGAATTGCATGAAATCTGCTGGGGAACTACTTTGCCCTCATGCAAATCTCCCAATAGTGCACAGATTCCTATGGAAATGACTGGATTTCTCCTGTGAAATTTTACAGAGCAACGGTAAATGTGACTGCACCTTGAAGCTCTCATTCTGCTTAACATTTCATTTTGTATTCAATGGAAAAACGTGAGTCACTTTTACAGGTTAAAAACAACATGAGTCAAGTCAAGTCACCTTTATTTGTATAGCGCTTTATACAATACTAGTTGTGTCAAAGCAGCTTTACAGAGTCAATCAGGAAAATAGTTTGTCAATGATGCAAGAAGACAATAACAGAGTCATTTTTCCAGCTAAAGTCAGTTCATTGATGATTCAGTGATGTCATCATCCAGTTCAGTTCTCTTCCAATAGTGTCTGTGCAATCAGTCAAGCGTCCTCAACTAAGCAAGCCAAAGGCGACAGCGGCAAGGAACCAAAACTCCCATCAGTGACAGAAATGGAGAAAAAACCTTGGGAGAAACCAGGCTCAGTCGGGGGGTCAGTTCTCCTCTGACCAGATGAAACCAGCATGGCATGGTTTAATTCCAGGCTGCAACACAGGTGCAGAGGTCTTGTCTGGTTCCCGTGG